ACATACTTCTAAATTTTATTTTACTGTGTTTTCTGGTTATGAAATGAGAAATTGGCACTCTTGTTTCTCACCCTTAGATTAGCAGTATCTAACTCTGTATTTCTTTGGTCCTTGAATTACTGTTTTGATGAGAATATAACCTGTAAAACAAAAACATATTTCTACTTCATGTTCGGTTTAAAATTCAAAACCACGTAATTATTTCATAGACATTTCTGTAGTTTAAAGATAAAATATACACTTCTATTTTTAAAGCAAATGTCTCTTAGAGACATTAGAGAAATATCTCTAATTAAAATTTTGAAGATGGCCAAATAAAGTGAAACAAAGAACTTTAATTGCAACACGCTGGATGAGTCAACCTCGTGGCCAAGTCTGAGTACATCGAGAATGGGAGGGACGAGTACTTTTAAGGTTTCTTGATTTGCATAAACACTCGTCTCGCTCCTCCCATGGTGAGCCCCGCTCCTGTTCTTCTTTAACAGGTGATATAGCCCCTCTTCTTGGATTCAGTTGGGTCTCTCAGGGCTGGCTCACACTTCCCTTTGCCAGTCCATTGGTTGCCTTAACCGACTTATCAGATTGTTTCCCTCTCCCGGCCGCGTGGTCCCTTGGCAATGAGCTCTGGTTGGTCTCATTGTCTTACAGGTTTCCTGGCTCTATACTGTAACTATAGGTAATAGCAACAAGTAACTGCAAATAGCAACAAATAGCTGCAAGCAGAAGCAGCAGTAAGTAGCTGCAAGCTCCCTGACAACTACATGACTCTCCAACTCCCAAATCAAAACAACTTCCAGGCATCTTGACACGAGGTAACATGGAAACCTCTGGTTGTAATAAACCCACCTTATTTCTTTCTTACAATCCCCCTTTTTCTTTTCTTCATGATTTTATTACAAGCTAAATATTAGATATTCTCAATGTCCTTTTGGGATCTTTCCAATTTGGTTAGTGTTTCTAGCACTTTGGTCTTATTTTTCACTTGCTTGGAGTCAGGGTGTAGGACCACGATCTTTTGTGTTTCTAGGTTTTCCTTTGTAGCGTCTTTCGGATTCATCGGTATGGTGGTCAGGTGCATTTTTGAATTACACTAAGGATTAACTTTATAAAACATGAAATTAAGCAAGATAGAAATAACAGTGTAGCAAAAGTGCACAAAAGAAGGAAGCTCAGCCATTTTCACTACTTTTTTTTTTTTTTTTCCAAATAAATTAGCTTACTACTCCTCATCTAGTATTGATTTCCAGATTTGCCCTGGTACATGGGAACTAGTCTGAAGTACAAAACTCATTACACAGTTCTCACTTTTTGGATACTCTAATTTTAGTCTGATTTTTTGTCAGTCTCAAATTTGTCACCACTTAGTACTGTTTATAGTCCTCTACCCAAGCTTTTTTTTGTTTTTATTATCATATGGCTTGTCCAAATATTTGTGTGCCTTAAGGCACATATTACATTTTCTTTATGATAAACATTTTGGTAAATTTTGGACAGATGTTTTCAACAGTACTAATCACCAGCTGTAACACTATTATAGTAAGTAGAGGTCCAGCATGGTATGTGCCTCCAACTCTCCATGCCTATCGGTTTGCAGCCAGCACCGGGGTGTAAAGGATCTTCTTTGTGGCTGCGACAGAGGCCAACCCAGTCTTGCCCTCTACTGTATTCTCTTTAGTGATATCAAAGACCTAGTTCGTGTATTAAAAGCTGGTAAAAGCTATTATATTCGTCCAACAGTAATATGTGTTTCACAATGCTTTGTATAGAGGTAGTGTACCCGCAGTTACCACACTCTAATCCAGCTGTGAGATGTCAGTTTATCTTGTTGCATGATTTTGGCATTGTAGGTGACAATAATTTGGTTATTTAAAATTTTCTTATGTCTAAACATTGAGTTATAATGCTGTTCTCTTAAAGTTGTATGGTTACTCACCTCAGGACAGGACAAGAGACAAAGGACACTTCCCATTTATTTTGGGGTTATTGGATGTGAGCACTCTGTCTCTGCCCTAGAGAATTGTGTCTTGTATGGAGACATCAGTCCTGTCTTTAAGTATGCTCAGCCAAATTAGTTATGTGTGATGGCCTGATCTGTCTTGGTTTGGACATATTGTTAAATCTTTGTGTCTAAGTTTTATAGAAGCAGTGCTGAAAAAGTTCTAGCTTTAGAGGGAAATAAGATTTATAAAGAACACAAGACAAAAAAATTGTAATGAACATCCAGTGACAAAAACAAAGAATTGGAATAAAAGCTGTTTTGCTCTGGCTCTCAAGCTTAGTTCAGTTTCTTTAATTTGAAGGGTACAAAACCTACTAAGATCACTTCTGTTTTAACTTTTAAGCTGTTGATTTTAGGCAAAGCAGAGGTAAAGCATTGGTTTCTATAATGGAAAGTCTTTTATTTTTGTCAGGACAGAAATTTTCATAAAGAACATTTCTTACGTGGTTGGAAAGAATATCTTCTAACAGGGGGCATGCCTGACAATTCCACAGCTAAATTTTATTAAAAACCGTTCAGACACTAGAATTAGAGACTTTTCCCACCTTTGTACCAGTGACAGGTATTGGTGTCATGTACCTGCTTGTCATCCTCTGTTTGAATCCACCATGGATGGTTGCAGAAATTTTGTCACTGACTGAGGGAAAGGGCATCTCTTTGCAGCTTGAGTATTTTGTTTGCTGGCAAATGTTCATGGTCACAAATAGGGCACAACTCTGGCTAAAGAGAGAGGCAAGTGTTCCTAATGTTAACTGTTCCATGAACTCATATTCCTGCCTCCTTTCCTGCCAGTTTGGGACTTGAATATAAGGGCTAAAGCTAGAAATGCTGTAATGGAATTTTTGTTGCTTTTTTTTGTCACTGTTCCTACAAAACTTACATTAGCTTTGAGTCCTTGAACCATTTACCCTTTTAGGATTCAGATAAATCTGATAAGCAGTTAAAAAACTATGAGAAAGTTGGTGATACTATAAGCCTAATTTTCCTTTAGTCTTGTTATGACCTGTTCCAGAAGGTGACAGTTACCCAGTTCTTAATAAGGTAGCAAGATAAATTGTAGACAATGAACATTAATTTTTTTTTTCTAAAATATATAAATAATGAAAAGTTTTGATACTTGTTTTTTAGGTTTGTGGATTTGCCACCCAGCACCCCTTTCTGTGGAGAACTGTAAATAAATCAAACAGCTCGACTTTGTGTGTGTGTGTGTGTGTGTTGCTTGGCCTTGTGCATATAAGGTGAAAGAACCCTCCTTTGGAACTACAGTGTGCCATCTTAATATTAGATATGGACCAATTCAGGATCAAATAGTATGTTTTTCTTCTACCCATGTGTTCAGGGTGTGTAGTAGAGATCTAAGCTATTTGAAGCAACTGCATATACATCCTCTACATAGAGCTTCCTGGTGATGCTATGAGGAAAAAAGTTTACTCTCATTTCTTAAAATTTCGTGCCATCTTTGGTAATTCTACTATGCAGCTACATTTATGATTTTACTTCTTCAATTAAAGTATAATCCTTTTAAGAATTAATATTTCAATAAAATAGGCTTTTCCCTATCACACACCAAAACTCAGGAAAGTGGGAGGGAGTGTGGCATTGTTCTATAAAAAAGGCTACTTTCTATTTTCAGTCCTGTTTTCTCATACTTTTGAAAAGTCCTTCCTGATCAAGCAACATCCCCAGAGACCAAGATGTGTTGTCTATATGACAGACTATTCTGTGTCTAAACTGTGCCTCCTTGCAAGAAGGATCAAGAAGAAAATATAGGTAGAGACATGGAGACAAAAAAGAACTAATGAACTTAATAAAAAAAGCCACTGCTTTATTATTTTCTGATGTGGTAGTTACGCTCTTTCCATTCAGAAAAGGAGGACTGCCATAGTGTCAATTCAGTTTATTACATCAGTACTGAGTTGCTTTGGGGCTTCACTGCATCTGGTGGCAGTCAGCTCTGAGGAACAGAATTTCTCAGGAAATTTCTCAGGTGGATTCTACTCAAGCACAAAAGAGAAGAGGGATAACAGACTTATTTGAGTTCTTGATAGACCTGCAGGAGGTTGTTATTTTTGTGAGTTAGTATTGATGAAGGGTTATAGAAGGAAACAAGAGAATATGATCAAGAAATAGTATTTACATTGTGCTGTCATTTTACACAGATAAGGAAATATCCATCCTCTTCTATATCATGAGGGCACTGAAGTGAATTAAAACTTGCAGTGCTAAGGTGAAACTTTGTAAGACCCATTTTACAGCTACAATATTAAAATCAGCTTCAGAAATCTCCAACATCTGAGAACTGCATCCAGATTGCATCAGACCTGTGCTAGTGATGTTTATATTTACATTTCTATTTACATATGTATTATTCTTAAAATTGGTGACAATATGGTAAACTAAACTGTTATAAGCTATAAATATAGAATAGTCAGCGACCCTGTAATAGTTATTATTACAGAATAGTTGTGGTTGGCAGCTCCCTTTAGACATCACATACTTGAACCCTTCCCGGTAAACGCAGGGTCAGCTAGAGCATGATTGCCCACTGTATACTACCATAATTGCCTTTCCCTTTTTCTGTGACAACGCAAGCCTTCTATTGTGCCCTTGAGATAATTTTTATATCCACAAAACTGGACATGAAGATAAAAAAAAAAAAAGCCCTAAATTTACTCCTACTCCCTTACAAAGAGGATGAAGAGCCGCAGCCGGTGCTTGAGTGCCGCGACTTCGATGCTCATCGCCCCCGCACGCCGCAGCCGACCTCCGTGGGGGTCACATGCGCTTCCCGGCGGTAGCAGGGCTGTCTTCCTAGGCTGCTGCCTCCGCCGGGGAGGCGAGAGGACTGCGCGCAGGGCGGAAGGTTCTGGGGGCTAGTGCCTACGCTCCAGCCTTTCCACGCTTTTGGCATGAATGGGGAGAGGAGGATAGAATTGACGTCTCGGCGAGGCGGGGCTCGCAGCAGGACTTTTCTCCAGGGAGAGGAGGTGGGGCTGGGGCAACAATGCTCCGATCATGCAGGAGCTGCTTCCTTTACAGAGAAGAGAGGTGATTCCGGCGGCGCGAAGCTATGGGCTCTGTCACCTCAGCCCTGAGCCGGCCGCGGCGCACCCTGGTGCGTGTGGGCGCCGGGACTTTGCCCGCAAGCCCCCGCCGAGCCCCGCTTGCTGCGGTGCTGAAGCTCCACGGAGAGGAGGAGGCATTCCCGCCGAAGGGGCCCCCAGCTCCCCGCCGCAGCCCCGGTGCCTGTGAGTTTCCGCGGGGCGGGGGCGCGGAGGGAAGCGGAGCCTCTGGCAAGGGCTCCCTGCCGCTTCGTCGCCGGCGTTTTGCCCAGGTGACAGCGCTGCCGCGGGTGGCACAGCCCCAAGGGGAAGGGAGAGGGGTTCTCGAAGGGCTGGAGGGAAAAGCTCCAACCGATCATCTATCTCCCTCGTCGTCAGCGAGGGGCTCTCAGGTGGATGGTTCAGAGCAGAGCGCCTTTTCATCCAGAGGTGCGATGTGGGAAGGGGGCAGGGTTACTTGCCGAGAATGAGATAGTATTAGGTTTTCCAGTTTTCTTCTGCATTCGTCCAACTTTGGGATGAGGAATGATACTGGAAAGTGTTAGGAGTTTTTTTTCCTGGGATGTTGGCTCTTTGAAGTTAGTCTCTCTCTGTCAAAACTTAGTTAAGATTTCTGTTCTTATTCCGCGTGCCAGTGCAATACTTCCCATTGCTGCCCTTAAATTTCAAAATACCACAGAATACTTTTGGATGATTTAAAATGATCACCATCTTTTATTCAGTCACGAAAAATAAAATGTAGGTCTGGATACTGCACTGGTTAAAAACCAGCCTGTAATACCCTGCAAAGGAACACATAGACATAATATGAAAATGTTACATTCTTAAGGAAGACTATAACAAGCTATTTATGCTACATAACATCAGCTTTCTTTCGCTTTCTTTAGTTTAGGGGGTAGGCAACAGTAATTGCGTGAAGAGGCTTGCTTCATAGTTCTCTTTTCTTTTGCCTGCTCTTTAGACCACATATGTCTATTTGAAATCAACTGATCTAATAAAGCTTAAGGGTATTAATCAAATTAAAACCGAAATCTGGCTCCTCATTTTTAAATTCAGAATTTCTCTAGAGAGAGATATCTCCTGTTTATGATTTTCTGTGAGTTGGAGCATTTCACAACTTGTGCTGGGTCCTTGTGCACTTTGGCCACAGCAACCCCATGCAGAACTAAAAACTGGTGACAGAATGGCTAGACAGCGGCCAGGCAGAAAGGGACGTAGGGGTACTGATTGACAGCAGACTGAACATGAGCCAGCAGTGTGCCCAGGTGGCCAAAAGGGCCAGTGGCATCCTGGCCTGTATCAGGAATAGTGTGGCCAATAGGACTAGGGAAGTGACTCTTCCCCTGTACTTGGCACTGGTCAGGCTGCATCTTGAGTACTGTGCTCAGTTCTGGGTCCCACAATTTAGGAAGAGTATTGAGGTGTTGGAGAGTGTTTTAATGTCATGTTTTCATCCATTGGACTCTGTGATACTATTTATTAGCCACATTGCTATCTCTACCAGCTCAAGGAATGATTACTTGCAGGAGACTGAGAAAACCAGAGCGGAAAGGAGAAATGAGTTTGGTCTTGTAGGGCATTTCGACTTTTGTGGGATTTGAGTTGCAAGCATAGGCATAAAGCTAATTTCCTAATAGCAGCAAAAGTACTTAGAGGTTTTAATTTGACATTTAGATAAATAACATTCTTTGATTTGAGAACATTGAAGGCCTTCCTCTGTTAATAAACAACATTTTGCAAGATACTTTTCGTTCTTTACAAGCTGTGTTCTTTCTGTGGTTATTTAATGTTTTCTATTTTTATCTGTTTCTCTAGTCTCTCTAGTCATGGTAATTTTCTAAGACATCCAGAAACTGCATCTCATAATGAGTGAAAAATATATTTTATCTGTACTTCAAAGATATCCCATGTTTTCTGAGCACTCAAAAGTGACAGGCAGATTTTCCCCAATTACTCCTGAATGCTTAAACTTTTCTTGGGTGCTGGCCTGCCCATATTTTTCTTTATGAGGGCCACATTTCATTTTGATCGTGAATCGTCTGCAAGATTTGAGCTGTTTGGGCAAGTGAAGGCCATGGGACGGAGATTTCATGTTATACTTTTGATTTTAGTTCAAGCATACAGTATCCAGTGCCTGTCATACAAAGTAGGATTACCTTACTCATAGCTAAATAGCAGTATTTGTTCTATCTTTTAAAATACTTTTTCTCCTTTGTGGAGAATATCAAATGCCAAGGCCCTGAAGGTAGCAGGGCCTACTACCCAGTGACTTGGACATGTCAAGACAACTACAGCTATGCTTTTAAGAGTAGTTTTAAGGCTACTCTTTTGGTATGGAGAATGCTGTAATTTTTGTAAAATCTTGTTCTGTGAAACATTGTGACATATCTTAAGTGTAAAAGTTATTAAAAGTACTCTATCACAGGATTTTTCTCAAGCCTGGACTGAGAAGCCCTCAAGCTTGGTCACAGTTTTCCCTTCTTGCTCTTCAAGCACCAATGCTTAGAACACATTCAGCTGTATTACAAAGTGCATAGCCAGCAGGCTTGAAGGAAGTGTTTATACACTCTAGCATTAGTGAGATTGTATTTGCAGCAATATATCCAGTTTTGAGCTGACCCCTACCAGAAAACTAACTTCAAACTGGAGTGAGTCCAGCCACCGCAATGATAGGGATACAGGAGGAGTCTCTGAGAGCTGAGTTTGTTCAGTGTGACAAGCAGAAAGCTCGAAGTGGCATATGACAGCTGATTTCAACTACCTAGTGAGAGGTTACAGAGAAGGCAGAGCCAGGCTCCCCTTACAGCAGCACAGCAATAGGGTTGGAATGAGACACTGGATATTAATTATTGGCTCGGACCAACTCAAGTATGTGTGTAGAGGGGAAGGGACAGGTCACCTCCACTTCACCTTCAAGAAATTGAAGGTGAAGTGGAGCCTCCTCGGGCAGCCCCCAAGCAGCTGTGGCACACCAGAGCACTGCCCCACACCATACTGCCTGGAACCCCTAACCCAGCCTCAGAACGGCTAAGACACTAGGAGCACTGCACTTCACTTTGTCCGAGAGCCCCAAAGTGGCCAATGGGCCAAAAGTCCTATCTGGTGGGGGTGGCCACATGGTGCCAGAGCAGATAAAACCAGCTGAAGGAGGCCACTGTATGGTCATCATGGCCCTGCCATCTCCTGGATTCCTGGTAGCTGGAGCTATGCTAGATCTAGGGGTGGTAGCTAAAATTCTCTCTTTTTTTCTCTCTTTCTTTACTTCTTCTCCTAATCTTCTTTCTTGATATTTGGGTAACTTAAAGCCACTTTGGTTGGATTTTGCTATATTGTATGGGTTAGGATGTGCTAAGTAATTTCTTTGAGAAATGCTTTATTTTGGTTGAATATTGCCCTTTAAACTTTTGTCAAGTACCCTTATTATCTAAAATTTACCAGTAAAACTGTGTTATTTGATGTCCTGAGAAACGTGTGCATTCTCTCAAGGCCCTTTTAACAAATTCAGAGGGTGAATTTTTGTAGTCTTGTATATTTTTAAAGTAAAACCCCTTTGATGGGTTTGTAGCTTGAACTTGGGGTCTTACAGGTGAGAAGTAATAGATAGAAGTTGCAACATGGGAAATCCCTATTAGATCTTGCTGTGAGGAACATCAAACACTGGAGCAAGGGCTACCTCCATTCCTGCAGTTATTCAAAACTCATTGGTACTAGTTCATGACCAACTTTATCTAAATATGGAGTGGAATTTAACATCAAAGTTGGTCCAACTTTGAGCAAGATGAATGGGGATGTTCAAAGTTCTTAACCAAATTACCTCTGGTAGTCCCTTCCAACATTCATTATTCTTTTCTACAGGCCTGCTGTCATTACTGGTAACTAGCAAGCCATAAGTCTTGCACCTTGACTCTCTTCAGAATCTAGGAGAACAAGCCTAACTTTGACATTTCTGCTGTTGATTGCAGACAGTGATGTGCCAAATCCAGTTGTGTCCTAAATAACTGTGATTCTAACAGGGCTGTTGTAGCATCACTTTTGTCTGAAAGCAATGACAGTGGCACCTTTGTTACTTCAGTCTCATATATGCTGTCCTGTGCAAGTCCTAATGCTGTGATATCATAGTATTCTGAAACAACAGTGAACCTACATTGATATTCACGTTGTGTTTTTTCTGTGCAAAATCCATTGTGAGGAAACCCCATGTTTCTCTTAATTTTCCACATCAGCTGTTTGAATTGTGGTCATCTCTAGTGAGGTTTTTTCCCATTTCTCAAGTCCTTAATTCCAGGGCTGAAATGAAATATGAGTACTTGCTTGCCAAAAGAGATTATTATACTCAGATTTAGTGGAGAAGAAACGAAGAGGTTCTGAATAGGGATCAAAAAAGCACTCAGCAATTACTTGCAGTAGAAGGAATCAGATGCCTCAGTGATTTCAAACTACAGCATTCTCCTTGGCAAGCACCACTGTAGAGTATCAGTGGTGATATCAGTTACTGATGTGTAGAATACTTTCGTTTTGCTCACTGCATGTATATATCACCATATATATAAATAAAGACTATAAAACTGTTCTTAAAACTTTGGTTTGGGGATTACAAGGAAAGGTCTGCTATGTAATAACAAAATAGATCAGTCTCCCTGGGGACTATTTGCGTAAATGAACCATCTGCTACTCTTTATGAATCATCATGGACAGCATAACGCTCTTTTGTGCAGTAATAATGGGACATTTGTGTGGCTTTGTAATAGAAGCATGTTTGACACATTTCTGGTCATTACTCCTCCCTCCCCAGCAAATCCCTCTTGTATAAGTTGTTCATGTTTATAATTACAAATGTGACAAGTGATGGAAAGAACCAAGAGGTCTCCTTGGCAATATGGTGATTAATTTGAGTTGTACAATGGTGCAAACTGAACTGGATACTGCTCCCACCATGGGAGAAACTCTTAAAGCAATACAGCAGGTGAAAATTGGCAAGGCAGCTGGGGTTGATGGAATCCCACCTGAAATCTGGAAGCACGGTGGCCAAGCACTCCATGCTAAGTTTCATGAATTTGTGGTGCGCTGCTGGGAACGAGGTGAACTACCTTCAGACCTTCGTGACGCTGTCATCGTCACCTTGTACAAGAGGAAAGGAGATAAATCAGACTGCTCAAATTACTGAGGTATTACTCTGCTCTCCATTA